TATATAATATATATATATACGACAACGTGTCATATAAACTTTGAATCGTACATTTTCTGCTTGCTTTGCTTATGCTTGCGTTATTATTGTTTTGTTTGTAGTTTATTTCGCGGAGGGAGAATAGCACAACATGTAAATTAGCGTGGCTAAAAACATAGGAACACAATCCAGATTTTTTCCAATCCTCACTCTCACTCCGACGAACATGAACATTTTGTTTTCAAGTGAAACTCTAGAATGGATCCTTTTATTCAATTGGCAGGTCATTTGAAGATAGTTTTTCCGCATCTATTTCGCGAGCAGTATGGTATAAAAATTTTATTACACTTGATTTGGTGTTAGACCATCGTTTATCCTACTTGTGAAATTGCCTGTTATCATCGCTCATTTAAACTCGTGATAACAACTTGACAATTTCACTCGTAGGATAAATCATGATCCAACACCAAACTCATATAATAAATTATTTGTAATGAATATGTTATTACAACCGCACGAAAAAACTACTCCTGTCAGGAAGAAGTGTCGTTTCACACCAACCCACCTCGTATATTGTTGAAAATATACTGCTCCAAAAGACAAATCGGGATTTAGAATTTGAAGGCTAATATCAGGTGCCCATTGCGATCACCCGACTCGTCACCAAAAAAGACAGACGCCATTGTTTTTTAAGCCGTGAGTCGGGCGATCGGTTTGTGTCTCGATAACCGCGTTGCGCCCTCAATCCGACTAGCAACCCCACCCGACCTGACCTGATCATGCCATTGTGCACCCAGTAATAAAGTGACTGGAATCAGATTCTGTTCATAAAAAACTATAATGTGTTTGTGTTGGACAAGATTTACGCGTAGGTGTAACTAATTGTCATAGATGACAGTTCTCTACGTCACTCGTTGTACAGATTATGATACAGGCTTCGGTTTTCTCTCTGGGTTTTTTCTCGTTGACTTTGATTCCCAGCTATCGTCTGTGTTGATGAGTGTGTGGTCTTTGGGGTTACACACAGCAGACGTAGCCATAAACTTGTATTATGATATGCTGGGTCCTTCGCTCTGACCGTGTTTCTGGTTCACTCTGCTCTGGTTCAGTCGAACCAAATGAAGGGCAAAGGGGGAAAGGTGCCACCAAAACTCGACTATATCGAAATTGCTGTTTGCTTTTCATTTGGGTGTAATACTGAGGTCCATTGTGAGAACCTTGTGCACCGAAGTTTACATGGAGATCATAGATCGGTGGAGTTGACAGTGCTCGGTGAATGAGTACATGTTCATAAAGACTTCCATTTTTACCAAGTTTTTCCTTGAGTACATTTTCGCAATCGACAATAAATAGTCAG